AGAGGTCATTGAGTCATAGGGAAGTTTAGTTGCTTTAGTGTGCGTGAATTGTATAATTTTAATTGAAATTGGTATGTTGTTGAATTCGATTGATATTTGTGTTGAATTGAATGATATGACTTATTGATTGAAATGGGATTTTGGTTTGTGTTTGGATTGTTGTGATTGGGAGAACTGAAGAGCTACGAAATTGTACAAATTGGTATGAATTTGATGTATAAAAATTATGTTGAACCACTTCTCTAGAAAAAAGAATACTAATTTGAACAATTGATCATGTTTCATTTCACTTAAATCACAAATCTAAGGGTGTTAAAATATGGCATGGCGCTGAGCGGTATTAGTGTGGCACTAAGCGCAAGCTTGTTGTGCAAATCTGGAAGCACTTTTGCTCCAAACCATTGAGTGCCTCTTTTCACTGCTAAGCGACCATTTTTGCGAATGTTTTGATGTTGAGCGGTGGTAGGACACTGTTGAGCGCCATATTACATGTAGGTTTGGAACAATTTTAGTTTCAGGATCTTGAGCGACAATAAGGTGTCGTTGAGCATGACGTTTTGCGAGAAGAATGACGTTGGACAAAAGAACTGTCGTTGAACGCCACCTTTGTGAGAGAGGTTTCACACTTAGTGCCACCTCTGAGTGTCAGTTTATATACTTGTTTTGTTTCTTCTTTTTGGCTGTTTGGTATTGATATGTATAATCATTGATTTTTGCTTGTGAGTGTTATTTTTGTATGATTCTATATGAGGATCTTTGTTATGATTATGTGTGATATGATTGTTGAGAGAATTTCAAAGACAAATTGTGTGATGGTGATGTTTAGTGCTTTGATATATGGGAGTTTAGAAAGGATGTATTATGATATACTATCAGTCTTTCAACTCATATAGAGATAAATGTGGTGGGAGAGAGAATGAGAGGAGGTCTTAGCCTTGAACTTTTAGTCTTCGGTATGAAAAGATTAATCTCGTGAGGAGTAAGGTAATAATGCCTGTGTTTATGACTTTGTAGAGCATAGATACCACTACGAGAGTACACCTTTAATGAAGCCCTATGTCAAAGTACATATCCAAATGATTGAGTCTAAAGTCAATTGTATGTATGTTTTTATACGAGTTTTAATACTTTATAAATGTTGAACTGGTATTTGATATGATTCAATTGTCTTATGATATTTTATTTTGCACACTAGCTTATTTGTTTTCTTCTCTTTTGTGTTTTGTTTTTCTTTTACAAGGATCACCTCTCAGTGTGGGCAGAGGAGTTTCATGTTGACATGCCTTTAGTGGAGAGCGAGGATGATGCAAAGTGATTGTTTAAGTTTTAACTAGTAGCTAGTTGTATAAAAGTTTCGTGTCTTTGGAAAAACTTGTGTAGTTTTATGTATTTTTGCACATATATTATTATGATTATTAAATGGATAACTTATTAATATTTTAGACTTATTAATATTTTAGATGATTTGTATTTATCTATTGTGTATTGTCAAAATTTATAATATTTTATTTAGAAGTTATGTAGTATGTTACACAATTTATTCACATTTTTTTTAATTTTATCCATTTATTTTTATAAACATTTAGGATAATTATATCAGTTTGGTACATTTTCTAAGATAGAAAACAAATATGTTGCATCTTCATGGTCTCCAAGTTTAAGAGATTATAAGTAAGTACGGAAGCTTGTATAAGAACTATATTTGTGACAAGCCTGATGCACAATATGATAATCACAAACTGGTGAAAAAATTTGTTAAAAAAATAAAGATTTTTAATATTTTTCTTTATTTATTTAGATATTCTTTAAAAGCAAAACCATAACGAATTTATAGATAATATTATCAAACACAACGATCACAATTAAATTTAAAATATTAAACTCTTTGATTTTATAAACTCTATTTCCTTTTAAAATTTGACCAAGTCCAATCGTTTTTAGAGTAGATTGATTTTTAAATTTGAAACAAAAAAATTCTTAGTAATGCAAATTGACAAATCAAAAATAGAAAGCCAACAGTCAAATAAAGATTAGAAATGGAGAAAGGTAACAAAGCACCAACAATAAAATAATGTCCACGATGTTATTGGTGGAGGTAAAATGTCTAAATACTGTGAAACCTACGTACCTTTTCAGTGCTCCTTTCCAAATAAAAAAGAAAGTGATGAACTTTATGTTATTCATTTTTCTTATAAATTCTTTTACTAAGGACATTTATTAATATTCCTACTAAATAACTAAAAAATTTAATTTATATTTCATTGTTAAGAACAAAGCAACCTAAACATTATATGATGAGGTATTTTTTAGGTTTAATACGTATTTTGGTCCCTCTTTTCGTAGGGTCTGTTCAAATTGGTCCTACTTTTTTTCAAAAGTTCACTAAGATCCCACTTTTCGCAAAAACGATGCACGTTAGTCCTTTTTTAGGTTTAATACGTATTTTGGTCCCTCTTTTCGTAGGGTCTGTTCAAATTGGTCCTACTTTTTTTCAAAAGTTCCCTATTTTGATCCCTCTTAGTGAACTTTTCGTATTTTGGTGAGCTGTACATTTTGATCCCTCAAAAGTTCACCTCAACGAAAAATGTACAGCTCACCAAAATACGAAAAGTTCACTAAGAGGGATCAAAATAGGGATCAAAATAGGGAACTTTTGAAAAAAAGTAGGACCAATTTGAACAGACCCTACGAAAAGAGGGACCAAAATACGTATTAAACCTAAAAAAGGACTAACGTGCATCGTTTTTGCGAAAAGTGGGATCTTAGTGAACTTTTGGAAAAAAGTAGGACCAATTTGAACAGACCCTACGAAAAGAGGGACCAAAATACGTATTAAACCTATTTTTTATAAGGCATGGATATGAAATTTAAGAGATATTTAAGAAGTGAATAAGGGTTGTTTGTGTTGTTACTTTGTTGGCGTTTTGTTGTAAGCAGGAATGTTGGACCAAGTTATATCCAATATAACTTTATAGGTTAATGATGATGATCATGGTTGTTCTGTTGAAATGAGTTGAGTAGTAACTAATCAAGGAAAGTGGTGATCCCAAAAGAAAAAGAAAAAGAAAAGTTGTTTTGATTTTATTTATGAGTGTGTGGGACATAAAATAGGTGGCAGTTAGCCAGTTAGGTTCCCCTTGACAAGTAACAAAAAGTTGCCCTAGCTTTCGGCTGTCCTCAAAGTGGGGCTATTAGTAGCTGAATTATAGATTAACCATTCCTTCATTTTTTTATCATTTAGCTTTGGCCATTTCTTATATATTTATATCTAGACAAAGCAAAAAAGTCATATTTACTAATCCATTCATATTTCATAAGTTAAGAACTACTATATAGTGATAGGTAGTTATTCCAAAATATGCCTGTTGCTTACAAATTGGTACATTTCTGCCAAACTTGTTCGCATATGTCTATGTCCTGTCTATTCCATTGGAAGTGATGTATTGGTGGGGAAGAGGAGACATGTCATTACATTAGGGAGTTACATTAAAAAAATATTTCTTTTTCTCTATAACATTTTTTCAGCAAAAAAAAAAAAATAGCATCACACTTTTTTAAGTTCATTTGACATATAATATAAATATAAAATAATTATAAAAGTGTAAACTTTTGTATTTTTCAAAAAAAAAAAGAAAAATAATTCTTTAACATACATAATTTTTTTATATTCATTTGACACTATCCTATCTTACTTTTTACTCTCTTCTTTTGTGAAAAAATACAAAAGTTTACATTTTTATGACCATTTTACTCTTATATTCTGTGTCAAATGAATGTAAAAGTGTGTCATGATACCGTTACTTAAGAAGAAAATAAAAAGTAAAGAATGTATAAGAGTAATGATTACATTCAAAGAGTAATGATTATTTGACACACTTAAATTTTTTACATTTATTTGACACTATCCTTGTTTACTTTTTACTCTCTTCCTTTTTAAAACAATGCAAAAGTTTACATGACTATTTTATTTTTGTAGTATCTGTCAAATGAACGTAAAAATATGAAATGTTACCATTACTCTTGTTCAAATTCACACTAATTGTTCCACTTTTTTCCTCGATATTAATTATAAACTCATTATTCTTTCACCTTCTGATAAAAAAAAATCATTCTCTCTAACTTAGAATTTGGGACTTAGGAGCTATATAATGCACAGATACCAGAAAAATGTACAGAGTTCTTAAAAACATGAAAAATATATTTATGCATGTATTTGTGATTGACAGACATACATGACACAGATTGAATTATCTGTAAGTTAAGGTTTTCCACAAAACAACACTAAATATAAAATCTCACAAAAAGTACAAAGAAATGACATAGGACAATGATTTTTCGTTTCATAAGAAACCAAAGTACCCTAATATTCCTCTTGCCATGTGTCCCTGCACATGCATACTTCCTCCTAGCTATAACACATGCAAGCACATGCTTAAACCTTCACAGAATAGGGCATCCACCCCAAAGAACTCATGCATATCCTACTCGTTTTCAACGAGGTCCAAATTTACTTTTCTCCCAACACTTGTATGCATATGCACCAATTACGTACACTATCTTAAGTTTTATCATAGTCAGTCTTCTACTATCAAAATCCTGCTTTTCTCACTGCTTTTTCTTTTACTCAAGAATTTTTACGCGTTATTAGCTAAAGAATTTCCATGAGAACTGTTCATTCAATGTATTGATATATATATAATTGGTTGTGAAAGCTGATTCCATTAATTTCTCTTGTGGTTTCACATGGATCATATTATGGAATAGAAGATTAATCTGTGTCAAAATATCAGACCATTTTGAATTATAAAAGTGAACAGAGGTTACATAATTTTCTTCACTGGTAACTTGTGCTTAAAATGTAACTTGATGATTATGTTTACTGATACAGATACCATTGAAAGAAGAATTGAAATTACATGAATATGTCTTATACTAATCATCAGTGATCAGATAACCCTACTATTACAATTTGCAGCAACGTCACCAACTATAGCTTGGCAAGGGGGGGAAAGTAGAAGAAAATATATTGGTTATGCAAAAACATATACAAAAGCATAATCACAATAAAAAGAAGTAATCGAGTGTAGTCAAGATTCTTAACATTTGGTCCTTCCACTGGTGTCATGATTCTGGCTTGTATATTCCCCTGATGCAATTGGGTGTAGCAAGAAGCATCACTTTAGGGATCTGTTCTTCTCATTGAGAAAGACAAGACCTTCTTCACATTTGACTAGTGTTTGGTCTCCATGTTCCGTTGTGTCACATGAAGTCTTTCCCACCAAGCTTTTTGCCTTCAAGGACTCCCTTTCCCAATCTGTGTTGTATACCACAACTAGAATAGAGACCACACATGCTATCTGTGCTGCCAACAGCCCATAGCAAAGACCCACCAACCCTAGTCTCCAAAAAAATGCCATCACTATAGCCACTGGTGCCCCCACCAAGTAAAATGAATAGAAATTTATCCCTGCCCCAACACCAGGCCTAGCACTTCCCCTAAGGATTCCACAGCTTGTGGTTTGAGGACAGTTTGCTAACTCACAAATCCCAATTATGGGTAAAACACTCATGGTAAGTTCCAACACCTCACTATCACTGGTGAAAACCCTCCCCCATCTCTCTCTCCCTAATGTGGTCCATAACAAACCCAATATCGAACTTGCAAGAGCCATTCCTACTGCCACAATTGTTGACAACCTTGCCCTCTCGGGTTGACCCGCCCCGAGTTCATTCCCCACTCTTGTTGACACTGAAGCACTCAGTGCTGTTGGTAAAGTGTACATAAGAGACGTGGTTTGAATTACTATGCCAGCGGTGGCTAAGGCTACTCGCGGATTGTAAAGGTAGCCTGCTAGAATTGTCATGAACTCGTACCACCACCATTCCAAGCACACTCCTAAGCAACTCTGAATTGAAAACCTTATCAGTGTGCCCCACTCTTTGCCTAACGAGGTTGTTGTTGTTGTTACTGTTGTGGAACTACTGATAAGACTGGTTAAGTTTTGGTCTTGTTGTCGTGATGACAAGGGACGAGATATTAATAAAGGCATGGAAAGTGACCCCTTTGAGACGCGCATGTAGAGCATGTATGATAGGAGGAAGAAAAGGGTGTTGAAGTTGGCAACAAAAGCTGACATAGCAATCCCGGGTACACCAAGGTGGAGTTTGAAGGTGAAAAAAGTCACGACAGGGATGTGTATGAGAATGGACAGCAAAGTGCACCACAGTAGAGGCCATGTTGTCCCTTTGCTACGTAAATAGATTCGAATTGGGTGAAGGAAGCTGTTGGCAATGAGGTCTGGGATGGAGAAGCGGCAATAGATGCTTGCGACTTTGGTTATCTCAGGGTTCTGCTGAAGCCATAGCATCAGAGGCTCCAGCTTCAGCCACAGGAAACAAATGGGCAGTGAAGCCGCCAGTAACATGAAAATTGTCCTTTGTAAAGTTAGAGAGACCAAACACAAGTTTCTTGAACCAAAGGCTTGCGTGCAAAGAGGTTCCATTCCCATGGCTAAACCTGAGAGGACAGAGAAACCAGTTATGTTGGTGAAGCCTATGGCCAAAGCACCACCAGCTAACTCAAGGCTTCCCAACCTTCCCATGCACACAACTAATACCATGTTTTTGATGTATCCCACAAGGCTCATTGCTGCTATTGGAACTCCTATGTCCACCATTCTCTTTAACTCATCCACTACCTACCAAACATAACACAAGGAAATTAATGCCATTCTATAGCTATGCTTAATTGCACTGTAATAAAAGCTTTATGATATGCTGACAGAAAAACAATACAAGTGAAGGAGTGAAAAATGGAAGAGAGTGAAAGCTTCTGAAAGCATATATGTGAGGTCTCGTTCGTACCTCGGCAGTTGTCGGGTATGTCTTTTGGGGTTTCTCCTCCGCAACCATCTTAGACATTTGGTTTTTTCTCTTTCTTGTTTCTGTGTGGTGTGAGACAGTAGTATATAATAAAGAGGAACAGTATTAATGAAATATCGGGTGCCTTTTTTCTCCTCAAAGAAAACACTCATCCAAGTACAAAGTGAAGGGGACAAGAGGGAGAGAAGTGAGGGAACAAGAAACTTGGGTGTGAGAATGAGGAGTAAGCTGAGAAACCTTTATATAAGGGTTGGAGATTGTGGGGTATGTAGCATGGTGGATTCTTTTGAATTTAAAAAGCAATATTACATTATTGATGATTATTATCATCATCAATAGAAAATAATTTCAGAGGCCAACACCCTTCAAGTATACATCTCTGTACAGAAATGTTAAGATGTTACCTCAAAAGTTTATACTTTAAAAGAAGGTCCTAAAAAGCTTATAATCTTGCTTGTGACTTCCACATGATAGTCAAAATCAAAGAGAAACTACAGTGAAATTTTAATGTACTGTTTTTGCAGATAGAGAAACACGCAAACAAGAAAAACTCTGCATAAAGACGGATCCTATATTATATCTACTTTCATAACATCTTATGTTTTTATTATAAGTAATATTAGACAATTTAAAAATTTATGAAATTTCATGATGACCATTTTCACATAAATTCCACATCATCTTAGCCATCATATATATACTGGTGTGGAATCGGCTATATTGAGATTATGTCACCTTAACTCAAAATCAAAACCTCATGTTGAGTTTTATCTATATTTAAACTATGACTTTTTATAGTTAAGAGTATAAGAGTTCGATATAAAGTGATATATATATCCTGTAGAATATACTGCGTACAGAAGAGTAAAAAAGCATAAAGAGCTTATTTAACCCGTGCGGTATATGCATTAATCAAGTGATACCAGAAACCTTCTTTCTTTACTGCTCCTATTTTGTCATTTCCCATATATGTAGAAGCATAGACACCTTCTCTACCCCATAAGAAATGCATATATGTTGTATTACCAGAAATTTCATCTCCACGTTTAAAAAGAAGCTATTTATTGTGCATGTGAGTCAGACTACGGCTATTATAGCTCTACTGAGGTCACAGTTGACGTGTTTCGATGCTGATACAATCCATTATATGATTTTGGGAAATAACACATCTGGCTTTCTTCACATCTACTCCCTCTCTCATTCCTTTTCATTTCTCATGCACAGATGTTAAGAATGTGATAAGTGTTTGATTTTCTTAATGTTCTCTATTATTACTGTTTATTAATTTAAATGAGATTTATAAACAGTAAAAGTGGTAATAGTTTGTACTTTCACATTTGCTTAACAAGAAGTTTAATACTTATATATTACTGTCCATAGAATAAGTGCTAAGTTAGTCCATGTTAACTTTCTTCTATAACACTACTTATCAATGAAAAAAAACTCTTGAATATCAATAACTTCATGTTATAAATATTTACTTTGAAATTAAATCAAGTTCACTGATAAATGTGAATTTAGGTAAGAGGGTTTTTAACAAATTAATTCAATAATTAAAATTATAAAGTGAATGCAAAAAGGATATAATTAGTAACCCATGTCTTGAATTTTGAAATCTGACAGATAAAACAATAATTTTGTAGAAAATTGTGATAGATAAAAGAGAATGGATGAAAGAATAACTAAAGAATATGCCAACAAGAGTTTAGATAGAAATTAAGGAATTAAAAAATTGAGTATAATTGTCACTAAGAAAATATCATATAATTCAACAATTAGATTTCTTAAATTCTTTTTATAAATAAAAAATGTTAAAAATATTAAGTATATACTGTGAACCTCTTTTTTCTCTATGCATGTAGTGATCTGTTCATAACCTAAATTTATACTCACTTTCCACTTCATAACCTAAATTTATACTCACTTTACACCTTTCTCTTTTTTCCAGTCCTTTTCTTTTTATGTCTCACATCACATCTATTATTATTTTTCCTCCCATTTGTCTCTTCATCCAAAAGAATTTTTTTATATCGCAGGACGTGTTTTTTGTACTCCGAGAAATGATAAACGTGAAAAGATAAATCGATTAAGAAAAAGTCGAGTCTTGTTTCTCATTTGTTTTTCACACTTTTCGGTACGAAATACATAGATTAGCATAATTACAGTGTTCCAGGTTGTCTGTTCAACTGTAGATATGATTTCTGATCAACATATTCATACATGAAAATACATTTTATTTATCACTCTAACTTGACCTAATTAAGATTGCTATATATAATTAAGACCTCAAATGATTGTTTACACTGTTGTGTATGTGTGTGTATATATATATTTATTGAGAGAAGAGAAGACTTTGGGAGAATGGGGTTGCAGAATTTGTTAGTATAAGGTCATATCAGTAAGCTATGAGGAGTAGGGCCTCTGAAGCTAACAGCATTAGGGTTTTGGGGCCTTGGGTTCACATCAGAAAACTGACTCTAATGAAATTAGATTGTATCGTAAGCAAAAAATTGCCTTTTATCACATGTTGGCACCAAGATATTTTTGACATAGATCCAAAATCTCAGAACTGCTGAAACGTCTTTACCATTTCAGCACGCACCTTGTCCACAAAAGTTACTACACCCACCTAGTTATTCGTATTGTACACCCTTAGCTCCCACCATTTACGCTGCCAGCGACTACTTGGTACGTATTTCTGTACATGTTTTTTTCCCTTTAACTTCTTCCATGCACATCCTACACGTACACACATATTCCTTAGGATTCAATCTACGACAGGGACAGGTGGTTTTACACCAATGAAGGCATTATTATAGAACGTGGGCGGTGACTAGTGGAGTGGTCGAGCTTTTGATACATATGTATAACCGAAGCATGTCGTGCTTATTTTAAGCTGCATGGCTAGTCAAGCATGCATTATTCTTACTCTTTATGACCACATTGTTGAACCGTGACAAATTCATTCTCTTCAAATTAGGCGTGTGATTAAAGTGCTTCCTATACCTTTCAAACTTCATCACAACGCTTCTTTATTAGACCTTTAACTATCTCTCTTTCATACTTAGCATCACTCAAACTTCTCTGTAATTCAATGTTTATCCATTGCCACCCAAAAAGTGCTCCTTACCTTGTCAAACATTCTGACTTCGACCAATTACAAACAATTAATCTCTGCACCCTTTCAACTATTCCTGTCTCCGTTTTCTCAACCAATTCCCTTTAATTATGATTTCTATAGCTTGTTTCACCCCCCCTCCTAGCTACTACCTACAAGGATCTTTTATGGAAAATTAAACTTATCAGGTTCACACTGTGTATCTTCTTCTTAGATCTATCGCATCATTACTCTCTAGATTGCTACTTCACTTTTACTCACACCTAACCACCCAATTCAGAAAGTGCTTTCTTAGTTTCACAGTGCATTGTCTAACGTATGTAATTGAAAATCCTTATAAATCATCTCACCTTCATTAATCTATATTTGTATATAAAAATGTTACCTTTTACTGTTGTGTTTCGAGTTTAACAAGAAACAGAAAAAAAACACGAGGTAATGTGACAAAAAGTAAGAACAATTAGCTAGTATTAGTACGAACAGTTAGCTGTATTCTGGTATCACACAGTTGTGATGATGTTTATAAATCGGGACCATAATCAGAGAGGATAAAGTTATTATTCTGCCTGAATTCGTTGATCCTGTATTTGATTTTTATTAATAAATATATTAATGAAAAAACCGTTTTTTAATTCTTCTTTAGATAAACTTTTCCTCTATAGATGGTCCTTTTTGCTAATTATGTGTTGAGTTTTTGTAAAGAGAGAAAAGAAAAACAAATGAAAAGCCGTAACATGGGGTAATGTGACAAGTAAGAAACAGTTAGATAGTGTTAATAAAAAGAACAAGTTGTGGTTATATTTATAAATTATAATAAAATAATCAAAAAGGCAAAAAATTATTAAGCCGAAACTCATTGATCCTGTCTCTAATTGTTATTGATAAATATATTATAAGAAGATCCTTTTTTTTTTATTATTTCTTCTTTAAATGAACTGTTCTAGTAAAATTGTTATCCTTTTCGTTAATCATGTCTTGAGTTATACAAAAATAAAGATAAAGGAAAAACCCTAAGATGGGTTGACAGCAAGTGGGAACAGTTAACTAGTCTGCTATCATATAAAGGAGAGCCAAGTTGTGAGATATAATAAGACGGCATACAGAATTATTCTGTCTAAATTCATAGATATAATTTTTTTCTAATAAATACATCTCCCTAAGCAGACCATATATACAGTGAATTCCAGAACACAGTGTCTGAGTATGGCAGTGGCTAGGTTTAGCTGTTAAAATCAAAGAGCAAATAATGCTAAAGTTCTTACTTATTTTCATCACTTTCAACTTAACATCTTTTAGCACAGAAACACGATATTTCCTCTGTGCAATGTGGTGTTAACTAGTGTGTGTAATATTAGAGACTAATTACTGTTATTACTGATTGTCACACTTAAATGGAACCATGCATGTGCGATGTAGTTACACCAAATGCAGAGGGAACCATCCTGAACTGTTAGGAACCCCACAGAAAAATAATCTTGTCGAGAGTTTGCATCTCTGGCAACTTTTAATCTGTAATGTGAGATATTAAGATGGGATTTTATACCTTCCTAGGGCAATGTGATGTTAACATTTATGATGTATGCATGGAGTGGTTGTTAGGAAGGAATAATAACGAATCCAAGTGTCACATCCCTCATGGTTTTTGAATATGTAGTTGTACTGAACGTGGTGACCTATTCGGTCCCAAAATCTTGGTCATTGTATTGAAAAATTCGAACAACCGACATCTTCTGTTTTCTCATCACCATGAATGACAAGGAGCGCACGTTTAAGCTTCCAATTGAATCATCGCTTCAGGATTTGGTAAAGAGAGATATGTCTATCTCACCTGTAACCAATTACATTATATATGGGGGCCTATCTCATTATACCATTACCCCAGTTTAAAGATAGTTAGATATTATCTACCACCATATTGCTTCTTCTTGTTGTTGCTTATATATATAGATACATATATAGATATAGATGCTGCTATGCTCCACTTGCTTCTTCGTTGCTTTTTGGATTGTCTTCTTCTGTTCATCTGTTTTAAAGGTAAAGGGTATGTTCATGGTATACCATATATGTGCAAGCCTGCGTAGAATGCATGTATGGTGATAACCTCATAAGTGAAGCAGAGAATAAACCTACCCTATACCTAGTGTTCTATTTTTCTTCGTCTGGGTAAATTCATGTATAAAATAAAATTTTCTCTTTATTGTATATTCAAAATTCA